GAGAGAGAGAGAGAGAGAGAGAGAGAGAGAGAGAGAGAGAGAGAGAGAGAGAGAGAGAGAGAGAGAGAGAGAGAGAGAGAGATGGCAAAGAAGAAGATTGGGAGAGAAGGAGAGAGACGTGTAGAAGACCGAGGACATAAACAAGGAGAGCGGGAACTCGGCAATAGGGAGAAGGGGACGAGAAGGGGAGCGTATGGGGAGGAGAAGGGGGGGGGAAGGAACAGAGACGGGGAGAAGGAAAGGAGATGGGAGAGAGAGGATCAAGAGCTCACCTCGTATCTGTCTCTCAATGTTCCGTTGCTCGTTCCTCAACTTCCGCTGCCATTCCCGAAGCTGCTGTTGAGGRTTGGGCTTCGGCTTGAACATGCTAACGAAGGAGCTAGACATTCCCGACATTGAGGAGGTGATTTTCTGCATAGCAGTACCCCAGATCACTGAATAATATACTTTATTATATTATAATCTAATAGTATTATCCTCTATTTCTCTTACACGTTGGGTACCACAAAGCCCGCGCCAACACACACACACACATACACGCCAACCACACACACACACACACACACACACACACACACACACACACACATACCGCGCACACACATACACACACACACACACACACACACACACACACACACACACAGTCCTCTCTGACGTCCTATAAACCCATAGAGCTCCGACCCTCCTTCAATTCCTGGCCATGATCCCACCCTGCTACCTCTCCTTCTCCTTCAATTCGAGGCCATATAGCCTCGATTCCCGGTGAGATGGTCCCACTTCATGGGGAGCTTCCATGAGAGAGGCGCGCCTAACCCACTGCGGCCATTGAATACCAAAATCCACCACAGAAGTGTAGCAGGATATGCACGTAGTTCAGGGATTGCTAACTAACTAATTAGGTACTAATTAGATACTCTTGATTACATGATCGCTCTACACGTGTCGACAGCTCAATTCACGAGCCCCGATTCCGTCAGTGGACCCTTGCTTTGCCCCGACTTGTACTGTTCTCCGCATCCCTCACACGACTTTGGGCATCGAGGCACTACTCACCACATGTGCAAAATAAGGACGAATCTTTCGCTAGAACATGGAAATATACAGCGCTGTAATTTTTGTCCTTTCTCCATCTGGTCAGTCTTGCGGCGAGGCCCTTTCGAAGGGAAAGGGAACTTTTTGGGCGGGTTACAGTAGCCTACATCACGTGGACCCGTCGAAAGGGAACTTTTTTGGCGGGTTACAGTAGCCTACATCACGTGGACCCATAACCGGAAACAAGGTCAAAGGGCCTCGCTGCACTACTCTCGAAATGTCCAAAACCAGAGTGAATATTCCGCTATAATATGGAGAGATACACGGCCATGATTTTTGTTTTTTGTGCATGTCGAGAGTAGTGCAGCGAGGCCCAAAACCGCCTAACGGTAGCTGACTGTTGGAAAACAGACCCAAGCTTTGATTCCATGATCATCAGATGAACAGAATTTTTTATTTTATTTTTCAATAATAAAATACTTCTGAATTACTTAAGCGGGGTCAGTTGGATGATGAAATCTTTTTTTTTCTTTTTTCTTTTTCCTTTTTTTCTTTTTTGTTGGGATAATTTGCAAAATACCCCCAGAAGTTGAGATATATGCCAAAATGCCCCTAAAAGATGTGGGTAGGGAGGAATGCCCCTCTGACAAAAAAAAAAAAAAAATTGTGAAATACCCCTGGCGTTGGTTGGACGCCCATCTTTGCCATATACCCCTACGGGGCACCATCCAACTTTGCAAAATGCCCCAGTACTTGTCAATATCTCCTAGGTGCTATTGCCAAAGGCCAAGGCCCAAATGGGGACGTCCAGATTGCGAAGTTGCACACCCAGCTGACAGAGCCACAACACAAAGATTTTGGGCCAAAAGGGCATTCGGCTCTACCCACATCTTTCAGGGGCATTTTGGCATATATCTCAACTTATGAGCGTATTTTGCAAATTATCCTTTATTCATTTTATATCATTTGGCCTAACTCAGCTGGTAAAGCACGCAAGTGGCATTCATGAGGTTTTGGGTTCAATCCCCATTGGGCTCATGTACATTCCTGGGCAAGCTTGGCGTCCACCACCTAAAGATAGGCCATTGGTCCCCCTGCGTGGCATTGAGCAAAGACTGTTGATGTTCATTGGGGGGGGGTTCCCCACATCACTACACGCAATGTCGTCGAAAATTTGTGAACAAAATATATGCAGGCTCATAATACAAACATCAGAAAACCAAACAGACAAAAAAAAATGAAGAAAAAAAAAAACTCAAGAGCACTATAAGACCCTATTCAGAGTAGCTTTGGGAGTTTTTCAAAACAATTATTGAATCCAGTGTTTTTGCCAACTTTTTCGTTACCGGTCCAAATACATTGAAACTGAATACATATATACCCTAAACCACATACATATCATTAAAAAAAAAAAAAAAAAAAAAAAAAATCAAGGAAATATAACAGTTTCAGTGAAAAATTCCCTGAAAATGATACCTCCAGAGCGCATCGATCCCGCCGGGAGGCCCTCCCAAACGTGTCGTGCAGGATTTTGCAAGACTTTTTATCGCAGTGGAGCTTTCGCCGCTCCAATCGAGTGTGCCAACTGCACCTCTCGCAAACCCCTACGGCAGGATAGGGGCCACGCGAGACACAACTTACCTCTACCTGGTTGTCACCACCCTTAGACAGGCGTATCCCCGTCGAACTACCGAACCACGTGCGAAAGCTGCTCAGTTGCAATTGCAGAGGTAGCCCATGCAAAGGTGTTTCTCTTACGTTGTAGCATAGGGGGTACGCGCGGTCGTACGCCTTAATCAGACTCGTACGTGAGCCGTCATTCTGGAGACTGATGTCCCAATCGCGACTCGGGGTTAGTTTGCTAGGACGGTCCATCGAACCACGCGATACACCACTCGAAAACAAAACCAACTCTCTCGTACACAAATCTCGCCTAGTCCCTTTTTGTATCCAACCCATAACCGTTTTCATCAATAAGCGCAAAGGTTACATGCACAAAACTTCACATAAATAATATTTTATTGAACAGACCCCTATCATAAGTGACCAATCATGCACGAATACATGAACAATCGTGGTGATGGAGTACTATGTAGTGCCCATAAACATGCGACTCATATTAAATAATGAGATTGCATTCGACGCTCACGTGTTGGCTGACCCGTGCGCTAAAGAGTTAGTCTTTTTAGTGAGCGCAAAAGCGGTCTGAGCGACTTGTCATCTTCTGCACCCTGCAATGCCCCAAACGGGGTATTGTAGGATGACTTTGAGGGAAGAAGGAACTCAGAGCGGTGGTGAGTTGTCTAGCGCACCAGCAACAAGACGTTAACCTTTCTACACGAAACCTTGTCGTTCCACCAAGATAATTTTTTAAACAAGGAAAAATCAAATAGTTGCGCACGCGTGAGCGTATAATTATTCATGGACTTTTGTATAAACAAATCGCGTGTGTGCGTAGACTACGATCATTATACTAGGGGGGTTGCTTGATTCGCACTAACTTTTCTTTGCAACCGTTTTGACCCATAACTTTTATAACACAAAAAACAATTGGTGTGTCACGTGCGAGATTCAGAATAAATATCACAACGACGCAGGCTTCGTCATATCGACTAGTCATTCATGATCACGCAAGCGGTCGCAATAACGGTGTATTATATGGTACCCATAATCATATGACCCTCAATAATTTTGAGGGTCGTTTTTGACACTCAAGCATCTGCTGACACACACCTTGAGAGATTAATCTTTCCGCGCTAGACAATCACAAGTGCGATTGCAAGCCCTACCCTCTTTTGCACCCTGCAGAGAGGAGTGGTGGGTGGGCTTCGACCCTTTGTGGCAACCAAATGCCTCTGATTCGAGGGTCGGGGCTTTATTATCAGAGGCTTGAAAACAGGTAAACGGTTTTCACTTTGACAACCGTCACAGACCTTAACGTCCAACTATAAAAGTAAAAAAAAAAAAAAATGGTAAAAAAAATAATGTTTTTTTTTTCTCAATACATATCTGTTTGATCACTGCGCACGGTCATAACAAACCGTGCGGATACACAACATACAATGGGGTTATAGGACACAAGGCGACCACTCTCGCAATCATAGTGTGACTCCCTTCAAAATATACTTATGGTCGCAGACAAAGTCAGATCTCAATTTCAACTCGCAAAACATATCTGCAATCACATCAATAATTCAAGATCGACAAACTGCGCACTACACGGGGTCAACGTCAACCATTCTCTGCACTCATACATTTTGCCTTATTCATACAAACTTCAACTTTTGTTCAACCTTTCAAAATAGAACACTCAATCCTTTTTAAATGGTTATTTAGTAAAAGTCTAGGTAAAAACCCAAAGAAACAATTCAACCCATAGGGGCTAAGACTTTTATGTTGAGTAGCGAAAATGAGTTAGAGTTGAGCGGGAAACAGACAGATCAACAACCAACCTGTTATCAAATGGTAACAAAAGATGATCCTTGTAGGATCCGATTGAAACTAGTCAGATCTTGAATTGAAATATTATTTAAAAAATTGTAATACAACACAGACCAATTCTCAAACTACACTATAAGTGTATTGGGAATAAACCCCCATATCACCCTTCGCTCATACTCTCTCAGTGAATAAATCTAAAATTTTCCTTCAATAAATGTTGAAAAGAATAAGAAAAATTTTGACAGCACCTCCCCTATTCAGCGTGGATCACCAAAACTTTTCTATCAAAATATAATCTAAGTCCTTGAAACTAAGAAAATTTAAGTAGCACTCCCCTTAAAGAAAGTGTCTTTCTGTAATTTATACTGGGTTGAGTATGAGATATAAAACTGATCTTTAATTTTATAAGTCAATTTGTTATAACTTCATTATTTAATAAAAATTTGGGCAGCATATCCTTCAAAAAAGTAGGTTTCCCAAAGTTATACTAAGTTGGCTATGAATTCAAGATACACTTGAGCCCAACCAAAACAAAATGTAACTAACTTTTTAAATTTGTAGAAATTTCGGCAGCACTTGCTATAGCAAAAATGTATTTCTAAAATTTGTACAAAGCTAAAATATATAATTAAAAGATAATTATGACTTTATAAAGTCAAATTTTGTCTAACTCCCTAATTTAGTAAAAATTTGGGCAGCATCTCCCATAGAAAAGTAGGTCCCTTATATTTATACTAAGTCAATATGAAACTTAGACAAAGGTTGAATTTTGTAAAGATCAAATTTGACTAACTTATTGGATTTGCATAAATTTAGATAACACTTTCCTTAGCGAATTGACTTTTCAAAATTTACAGAAAGCCATATACGAAAAATAAACTTATCCTACAAAATACAGAAATTGAACCAACTCTTATAGCTCCAGCACATGACGAGCATCTAAAGCAACTACTTATCAAGATTGACACTCATAATAAGTAGAGTTTACACTCAGCCACATGCAAGCTCATACCACAATAGGTAAGTACTATCGCTAAAGTCCCATGTTATTTTCTTATAAGTAGTCGATTGAGTTCTCAAGTGATTAACTATTACCTTAACTTACATAGGACACTGATTTAGGTCATTCATCTTAGAAACAATGTCCAACCTTTTGCCTTAGTTATATATGAACAAGTTGCAAAATTACTTATCTGTTCTTTGGGCATGTGACTAGATCACTCATCTTAGAACTATCGCCCTGAACTATTTAAATATTCAAACTTTAATAACTTTTCGACTTGTCTTCAGGATATGGGCAGGGGACTGGGCCATTTATCTTAGAAACAATGTTCAACTTGCTAGTTTATTTCCAATTACACTTTTAACTTGTATCCCTCTTCTTAGTGATATGACTTAAGCTGAACCATTCATCTTAAAAACAATGTTCCGCTACCTATTCACATGCAAATATAGA